GTAGGGAAGAGATTCAGACCCTGGCTCTTGATGAGAGTTTCTTCTGTCAAACTGTGGATGTGGTGTTCTTCACATACAACAGTTAAATACCACGTACCGATGCAATGAAACCCAGAGACATCTGACTCCTTGCCCTAGGCAAGGGAGCATTCGTCCTGGCTACACCGCAGAATTTCAGCACCTTTCCTCAGGGGGCACGCTGACGGAGCTTGGCGCACACCGCACCCCTCGGCAGTGCCAGTGACCAACAGAGAGGCCACAAGTCGGTCTCCAAATGAGCAGGACTGCAGCCAAGTCCCTTCACGACAGAAGGCCCAGAGGCACGTTACACTGAGGGAATGGTTTGCATGGCTGGGGGACAGTGATGTCATGTAAGTGTGGACAGAAAAGCATTGAGACAATAGCAACATTTTGATCCACATAGTTCTCCCTGCAGGCCCTTTCAGAACAGCCTTCTCTCCTATAAGAAACACAACCTGAGGAAAAGGATACAGAGTTTGGGAATCTTCAGCAGCATTTTGCCATAGACAACTTTTGCGGCCACAGTCTGGTTGAGGAATATCTTTGTATATCTACTTCTCTCGAGCAAGCCAGGGAAAGCAGCCCTTCTCTGCTCAACAGGGTCATTGCAAGGTGTTCAGACAAGATAAGGAATATAAGGATTGAGGCTCATATAAGAACCTTATACAGGTTTAAACAGTGATGTACAAGAGCATAATCTATGCAAAGCCTGCATTTAAAACAGGGCTTGTGTGTTCAACTGCAGGTGCTCAGAGGACAGCATTTTATACAACTTGGAAGAGCCAGTGCCTCGTGGGGTCCCAGGCCTCTGCACAGGCAGAACACATTGGGACTTAGCAAAGAAGCTGTGCTGTTGCAGTCAGCCCAAAATGGACATGTCCAGCAGGTCAGGGTCTGTTTTCCATTGCTGTGGTGCCCTGGTTTTATTCTGGTATCACTCCGTTTAAACCAATAGGTCATTAGCATGAACACAGTGTAATATAGACCCAGAGCATTCAAGCTAATATTCAACCCTTTGCTTATTCCTCCACGTGCCTCACACAACATATAGTTCAGAGAAAAATTACACCTTGTGCAATTCTCGGACTCACTGCTTTAGACTAAAACTATTTCAATCTTAGCTCTGAATTTCCTGCGTAGCAGAAGTTAAGAGAGACATCAATCTTGTTCTCACTTTCAGTGAGACCAAACATGAACCCAGCTTTGTTGAGGTAACATGCATTAATGGCAGGCCAGAGTTCACTCCAAACCACACCACTTGGCCTGTCTGTCCTCCCTCCTTAGCTTTTAGAGTTACTGACGAAGCAACAGGGCAGAGCTCTACAAACTTCTGCTTGGCACCATTCAGTCACAGAAATTATGCACAGTCTCTAATTCAGAGACCCATGAATTATCCTTGGTACCCAAAAGGTATTATCTGGAAAGCAATCAAAATTCTGTTCACCAAAATATTTATATTAACAGAGAAAGCCAAACTCTGCCAAGAACGGAGCTGGCAAGCTTCCCTGGAGTTTCTCCGCCAGTGTGTAAAACAGAAAGCAGCCCCACCTACCACAACCCCTCTGTGCATGCCGAGGGCTGGTTAGTTTTTTTAAGTACAGTGCCAACTATTTGTAAGGCCTCAAAAATCTGGAAACTTTAGAGCGCAGCAGCCGAATGAAGGATCTTGGGAACATCTCTCTTGACTCTTGGGCTGTGTACTTGAAGTAGTTCTGTGGATGCGCCAACACGTCAAACAAAGCTTTTATCAGTTTCTTGTCCTGAAAAAAAGAAAGCAGATTTCATAGTAATTCCAAAGAGGAGTCAGGGTCAGTATTACCAAAGCTTAATGACTGATTAACTCATAAAAGATTATGAGCATTTTACTTTTCAAGTACAAACGTTTCAGGACTCAGAAACTAGTGGAGCAAGGTTGACATTCAGGCCCCAGAGAAGTCACTGGAGTTTCACATTTATCATTAGAGGCGGAATAATTTCTCTCCTCCTCATACTTCCAAGAACAGCAAATGGAAAAAAAAACAAAACAAAAAACAACCACAAAACAAACAAACACTGGATTTGATAAATCCAGCAAAAGAAAATTGTACTTGGGATGAATCCACTCAACTTGCCCATGCAACTATCTCCTAACCAAGGTCAGAGAAGTGAAATCCTCCAAGAGACTTTTTTGCCCAGGGAGGAAAAGCCCTTGCTAATCTACAGGCTACAAGTAGCAGTACCAAGTGCTTCTCCAAGACATTAAATCCGATGTCCCTCTGTTTGCTCCCTTGGTTACTTCCAGCACAATCTATGTGAGGCTCAAGGGGCTGTCATCACCACAGATAGCCCTAGTAGGTCTGATCCACCTTTAAACCCCCTGGACAAAGGATCTCATATCCATTGCTCTGCACAATCAGGCTGTGCTGATTCACCCCACTTCCCTGAAGTAGCATGTGTCCAGTGCACCAAGGAGCAGATCTGATGCAGAGCAGGAGGCAACCTCACTGGCATAAAATAGTGTCATTTTCAATCAAAACCAACATGTTTAGTGGAAGGAATATACCTTAAGTATTTCTTGATGATTTTCAGATGCATAAAGTCTACCATCCCGAACAATGTCTTCTATTAGTTCTTGGTAATCCTCTACGGGGAATGCACAAGAGAGTCATTTTTGCAGGTTCACTTCACTTACATACTCGATACCTCCCTTGGTTACACATGTAATGGTTACACATTCTACCCCCAAAAGAACCAGTAGTACTTGGCCCTCATATTAGCAGTCAGAAAATATTTCAAATGCTCTTCCGTAAAGAAACTACAAATACTGTTTACTATGAAAACAGTGTACTCTGCTGAGCTGCACAGCATCAATCTGTCAAAAGCAAAAGAAATCATAACGCACCTAGGATTGTAGTGCATACTGTAACCAAGTAGCCTGCTTCAAACCAACTGCACTGCAGAAACTTATCTGTAAATACCCACAACTTGTTACTGACTTCTTTCTACAGTAAGAAGGAAAAAAAAGAGGTAAGAGGAAGCTTTCTTAAAAGGCAAACCCCCTGGTAAATCCAAACTTAAAATGCTTCAGAAAGAGAGGTCTCCCCTGAAAAATGAATTATCCGCTGTTGATGAAACTCTGTAGATCACAGCGAGGACAACTCCATCACAATTAATCCCGTGCGAACAGAAACCTGCCATACCATTTTCACATCACTTCTGCTAAATTGCAAAGCCTCAGTTCCAGTTTCACTCCTGGTGACTCTGACAAGGATAGGGTGAAACTCTTGCCCCTCAAGCTTCTTTTCAATACAGATATTTTTCTATCTGGTAGCAGATTACAGATGGTAGCAGCAACATGGTAAGTCAGTGGCACCTGGTCTCTGCCCAGTTCCTAACCAGGGGGACTTTGCTGCCACCTGAAGCAACCCAGCACTGGGAAGGCACAAAAATGCACAAAACTCAGATTCTGGCTCTGAGCTCTGCATTTTGCAGGTCAGAGCCCAGAATCCCAGCTCTCTCCTTAGGTCTGTGGAAAACTGGAAATATGGTGGCACTTAAGACTACAGTGCAATGCAGAATTCCTTAAACTAACTTTAAATGAAAACAGCTACTGGAAGTAGCTTAGCAGTGACGTTGGTGAGAGTGCCGGATTACCCTACTGTTTAGCAGGGTCAAGGAGCCCACAAGGAGTTCCGTACTGCTGCAGCTGTGCTAGTCCACACAGGCTCAGCTGCTCGCATCCGCTTACCATCATACGTTACATAAGGAACTTGGAATCCTTTGGCACTGTTCCCTTCATTTGACTTGAACTGGATCCACAACTTCTTGGACCTAGAAGTGAAAGCTATAGGGCGTTCGTAGGTTTGACAGGTTTCATACGTGGTCACTGAGTTGGAAGAAGCTTTCAAAGAAAACACACAATAGGCAGTTATCTGACAATGCTTCATACTAATGAACAATTAGAAAATAGGTTAAACTACCATGACAAGAAATGCTTGCTGGTGTTAAGAAAACAACTCAAAATGTGGCAGGCCAACAGTGGGTGGCAGGCCATCAATGGGCCACTTCTTAGCCAAGGAATATTTTTCCGAAAACCAGTCCACTGTTTGAAGGCTGTGCCTACACTAGAAGCTGCAGCTGTTTATTCACACATCAGGCACCTGTAGGGACTGGCAAGCATCTTCTCTTTCCTAACTTCAGCTAGAATTGCTTAGAGTAATTCATGACTGGTTAGCTTGAACCATCTACCCCTTCTTAGCAATATTTCTCTCAGAGTTCACTGACACATAGCCGTGCACCCGTTTCTCCTGAAATCTATGGACCAAACAGGATTTCTCAATTTGTCATTTAAAGAAATTTCTTCTCTTAAGTAGAGGACAGCCAGGCTGCATTTAGTTTATGTAAACAGCAATGCATGTGAGAAACCTGTGTTGCACGCTGAGATAGATACCACATGCTTCAGTAGATATTTCAGACTTACAGCTTTTTCGCATCACCAGGTAGTCTCCACACTCATCTTCTATTGGTAGAAATATTTCTGGAACCACAATCAGAATACGGCGCTTTGGCGGTGGGTTAATATTCCAAGTACACTCAGTGTTTGCAGGATAGTCCCCAGGATAGTTTGGTGATTCAATATATCCAGTATAATCTCCCAGTTCACCTCCACACTGCCTATCTGAAAAAGCAATACCGTATGCAGGAGTAGGTAAAGTGAGGGCGTCCTACAGCTTTCTTTACATTCACTGTCAGAAGCAGTACATGGGTGACAGACACGCAAACTTTTCTGTTTTCATGTGATGCAGGTACAGTTCTCTTTGGTAGCTTCACTTCATGCTGCTGCCTGTTTCTGCCTTTGTGTTTTAATCAATGTTGAGACATAACGGTACAGACCAGTCCCCATTAAGAGAGCAGGTGCTATTGACCAAGCCAAGCAGTAAGGCAGTTGTAAGAGGACATAAAAATGGTCAAGCAAGGATTCTCCACTTGCTTGTACTAGACAGAACATTTTTATAGAAGTATCAGCTGAAGTCTGACTGGAGTCTGCGGTGCTCTGCTCAGGCACCATGCCTGCAGCAGCATGAAACAGGGAGCATGGCAGGCCTTTTCTCTACACGGATCACCATGCCAGCAGTAAGAGAGGGTGAACCCCAGAGCAGGAGCCTGTGTTCCCAACTCTGTGCGGCCACAAGGGTCTGAGCACTACAGCACCGTAACAGCGATGTGCGGGTGTGACACGCCTAGGGAATGGATTCTTTAAGCAAGAGACATGCAGTTCCCACAAACATATTTCTATGTATGTATGTATATATATATGTCTGTGTGTATATAAGCGTCTCCAGAGGTTCTTCTGAGAAGTTGCCTCTCTGTCCTCTATTTTCCCTCTTTAATTGACCTTCAGCTTCCCACACTACAGCTACCACAATCTAGAACAGTGGCTCAGTTTGTAATTGCGTCTGTCAAAGGTTGTTATTAAGAAGAAATGGTTACTAGAGCTATTAAGTTTTGTGACCCAACTTCCATTGCTTTTTAACAGAAGTGAAAGAAATCAGGGCGCTCAGAACACAAACTCTGTGTGCGATATTATGGGAGAAAAGACTTAACAGCAGAGTGACCCAGCAACAACTGGCAAGGTACAATCACCGCTTACCTTAGCAAGAATGATGGAACCAGTCTGCAGAAATGGTCTCTCATGGACCTCAGTAAGCCATGTGGGATGAGATGCAGGCAGTCAGCAAAAGAGGAGCAACACCAAGCTGCCTGGAGCAAAGCTGATTTTTGCCCTTAGGGCCACTCTGAATATTAATGGCCCAGTCTTTTCATTTGCAACAGATCATCAAAACCATCTCGCTACACTTACTTTTGCACTGTGTTATATTTGTTGACCCATCAAAATCAGTAGTGGTGTTTCCAGGGCATGAAATGCAGTAATTTTGTCCAAACTCAGGCTGATATGTCCCAACTGTGCAGCGAATACACCGATGAGTTGTGGTATTATAAAAATGGCCAGGAGAACACTGAACTGGAGAGTAATTAAATATGCATCATGGTTAAAATAGTGGCAACAGCACATTCAAATGTGTATTTTTATAGGAGTTATTATAATTTCAAAACCTGAAATGCCATATTCATAAACTATGAGGGGCATAAAGCAGAGGTAATTGAACAGATTTCAGTTTATCAGGTCACTTTGTGCAAGCTCAGAAACCCCAAACGCAACACTATAGAGCAGTTCTGAGTGGAAACAGCAATAAAAGATATGGGGAAGTGCATATAACCACCATGGTTTTTGTAAGTAGGACACTGAGAAGAACAGTGCGTTACCAAATGGTCTAGCCACTGACATTTGATGTGGAAGGTGAACCATATGTGGAAATAGTAACTATACCTTTCTTTTTTGCCAGCTTACACCAAGCAGTATGTGCACTGCTGCTGCATCCTAGTATATCCCCTGTGATCAGCTCACCACAAGCAGAGGTGCAAGACTCTGGCCCTCTACAAGAGGCACACTGCATCAATATTAGCAACTGATCTGGCATATTGCCGCCTTCCCTCATGATCACTCACTGCCTTGCAACAACAGGCCGTGACTCAGGGTACAGCCACCTCCACCAGATCTGCTGCTACTTTATTTCATCACATCATGCAAATCACCATGTTAGCTAGACACATAAGCTATAGCCCTCACAGGGCTTGCTGAGAGTATGTCCTGCATCGCCACAGCAAGACTCCACGCTGACATACAAACTCTTTCATAATCATAACAGAATTTATGGAAGTTTTGGACATGAGATAGACAGGCATAGGGGAAAAATCCTTTCTAGAAGACTTGCAACTTTTTTCCAAGTTCACTGCTTGGACACAGGAAGATTTTCTTCTCTCATTGCACTCTGACAATACAGGACCCCAAACACATTTGCTTACATCTCTAATATGCTGCTTTTCATTTGATTTTGCTTAGCTGTTCTGCATCTGCATCTGTGCCCACCATCATCTGTCCTGAAACCTGACAGAAGGCAGTCAAGAGACTCAGCCATATATTATCTTTGCTCTTAATCCATCACCTCCTTGCTTCTTCTGCCTTGCCCTTTTTCTTTGTGGGACTAAAAATAAAATAAAATTAAATATTTTCCTATTGCTTTTACCTCATTTGGCAAGTTTACCTCTCTCAACTCAACGTCAAAATAATTTACTACTTTGCTTTTCAAATGTAGTTTTCTGTGCTGCACAGTCACTTTTTTCCCTTCCTTTCAAGCTCTGCTTACTCCCAAATAACTCTAGTCTTGCTGAGCTTTGTATGCTAGCTCAGCCTGGCGTCCTTCCCTACATGCTCCACCCCCCAGTCCAAACGCTTCAGATACAAGTTCCAAATAGTTCTTGCATCTGTGATTCCACGTCTCATGTGGCCTCTTCCACATGCAAATCCCTGAGCTCTTCATTCCAGTTAGTACAAAAAATTCCTTTTATCTCCACTCTAATTTGAAAACTGAACCTCGTTTACAGACCTGGTTTTGTTTATGTTAAATAAACCTGAAGTCAGTTCCTCTTATCTTGATCAAAGGTTTTTAACATGCTTTTTTAGTGCATTAATTTTGCAGAATTAAGTATGAAACAACAGCATTTGTGGATTCAGTTATTCTTCACTGAAGGAATCCATTAGCTATCACATTATTACCAGTAATATCAATTCTTCAACGATACTGCAAAATTCTTCTATTATGTTGCAATTCTCAATAGTAAACATATCTTAACTGACACTAGAGAGATCTTTTATTGCAAACCACTACCAAATGTTTGTGCCAGGACCTTATTTCTATCCCTTATTTCTACTCTGCGGCAGTAGATCTTCCATTAACACTTTTTCTTCAAGTGATTTAGATACAACTGACATTATTTTACACATGCTTTAAGACATTAGGCAAGCCATTATACTGATTAACATTTCATCTCTCTCCACTGACAAGTATTTTTATCACTATTTGCAAACACAACTTCATAGCTGTCTTACAGCTTTTTATATTTTAGATAACAAAGATACTAATACAATTCCTTCATTTTTAAAGATATGATCCCTACCTGATTTTCACTCCTGTGAGGAAAACCTTGGGAGCTGATTGTGTGTCAGCTCCACTGTGATCAAGTTGAGAGGGCTGTCTGAGGTACTGCAGGGTTAAGCTGAATGCTAGCTTTTCAGATATATCCCAAGGCATCCAAGCCAGTTTCTCATCATGAACATGAAGAAACCAGCTTCTTCCTTATCCTCCAGGACTGCAATTCCCTCCTTCACATTTTGATGTTGCTGCTGTGCTCTAACCCAAAATGTCAATAAGGCATACCAGTCTTGATTTTTTCCTTGAGAGCTTTTTTCTCCCTGCTGTTCCTTTATACAGCTCTTCACAGATCGACAGCTTCACTGACCAACTTCCACGTATCTCCCAAACCCTTCTCAAGTCTTGTATAAAAATCAGTTATAAAAAGAATTGAGGCTTTATTGAGTTTTCTTGAAGCCAGGCCAGGCCACCCAAATATGAGATGCCTGAAAGGAGAATGATCCTTCTTTGAATGCCCTGCTTGTAGCAGCAGCAGTTACTTTTGCCTCAGAACAACACAGTTCATCAAATAAATCTTGATCTTACCTTTGGTCTCACAGTCCTGAAACAATGATGCACTGCTATGCCTTGTTGTTAGACCTCCTCCGCAGTGAAAGCAGGATACTCTCCCAGCTTCAGGCTGGTATGTTCCAAGGGGACAGGGCAGACAGGGTTTGAAGCCGTCAGGAGAATATTCACCTGGTAAGCACTGATCTAGAAGACGAAGAACACACTTGCTTCAACCTGTACGTTACAGGCGAAGGTATGTTAGTGAGCCTGCACAGGACCCAAAACCCCACAGTGGAAGTGCTCTCCTCTTTACTTGGGAAGCAGGAGTCAGGGTTTCAGAACTGAATGCTATTGACAGATGGAACTTAATACATGCAATGTACCCTGTAAAACTGAAACAGATACCGATCACCTCTGGTGTTGGTGAGCATTTCTGTGAGCTGGAATGGATTTCACACTTTGTTGGAAGGCTACACTGGACACTAGGCTTGTCCAGTACTCTCTGTTAATTTGTACAGTGCAATTATGTAGTGATTATCTCCTCTTTCTAGCTAAAGAACTCTTGGACTCTCCACAAATGAAATAATTTAGTACTGAACTTAAGATGCAAAAAATGTACTTCCAGATTTCTATGAGTATTTTAATCTCAGTATGATTGAATATTCATACTTCATGGATGACACGTTGACCATGAGCCAGCAGTGTGCCCTGTCTGCCAAGAAGGCTAATGGGATCCTGGGATGCATTAGCAGGAGTGTGGCCAGCAGGTCGAGCTCAGGAGGTTCTCCTTCCCCTCTACACTGCCCTAGTGAGGCCCCATCTGGAGTACTGTGTCCAGGGCTCCCCAGTTCAAGAAAGATGAGGAGCTACTGGAGAGAGTCCAGAGGAGGGCTACGAGGATGGTGAGAGGACTGGAGCATCTCTCCTATGAGGAGAGGCTGAGGGAGCTGGGCTTGTTCAGCCTGAAGAAGAGAAGGCTGAGAGGGGACCTTATAAATGCTTATAAATATCTGCAGGGTGGGTGTCAGGAGGATGGGGCCAAACTCTTTTCAGTGGTGCCCAGCGACAGGACAAGGGGCAATGGGCACAAACTGAAGCATAGGAAGTTCCCCGTGAACATGAGGAAGAACTTCTTCCCTCTGAGGGTGACGGAGCCCTGGAACAGGCTGCCCAGGGAGGTTGTGGAGTCTCCTTCTCTGGAGATATTCAAGACCCGCCTGGACAAGGTCCTGTGCAGCCTGCTGTAGGTGACCCTGCTTGGGCAGGAGGGTTGGACTAGATGACCCACAGAGGTCCCTTCCAACCCCGAACATTCTGTGATTCTGTGATTCATAACCATTGGCATTACTGAACTGTGTGAAATCTCAAGTGTAACAAGTAATTGTGCAAATTCACTAAACTAAACATTACACATGCCTCAAAGACTTCTAAACCAGAAATATTCTTGCCATTCCTGTGATACTGGATCTTGGGTAATTATTATCTATGCACTGGAATGCTGTATTCTGCATGATGCATGGACAGCACTAGCTTAATCTGACTCATTTTACTTAAACACGCGCCTCAATATTATCTAACAAGCCCAGCAATTTTTATGGATATCTTTGAAAAATTCTGTTTTTTAAACTCTTCACAAAAGAACTGATTTAATTTCCAGTATTTAATAATTACCCTGCTCTGGAAAGGCACAAAATACTGTTGCAGTTGTTCAGCTGTGCTGAAAAATTCTGTCCTTTTTAAAGACCAGTTACGATAACAAACTGTTAGTTTTAGTTTATAGCTGAAATAAATCACTCAGTGAATAGCTGTTTTGTTAGGAAGTTAAATTGGCCTTGGCTTCATTTCAGGCTATATGACTAACAACAAGCAGGGCATTAATCAGGTCATGATCAATGATGAAGAATTTTGTTTATGGCTGATACACGAGGTGGAATTGTGAGTGTTCCTTCCTAGCTTAAAAATAAAATACAGCAGGTTAAGCAATGCTCTGCAGCTTATCAATCAAAGCTAGTGAGGAAGTCTTAGCTCTTGGTTCTAACTTTTTCCAGCACATCACTTCTGCTCTCATACGGACACACATTCATTTGCTCCCACACTTCTCAAGCTTTTCTTCATTTTATAAACATTCCTACAGAACACTCATCTCTGTACTCTTTGTGCAACTTAACAAACATGAATGAATTAAGGCTTTCATTGCAGCACTCCTAATAAGGTAAGGAAAGAGCACCATTTACAATTCCGTGACAAGGAAAGACAATCAAGGTTAGTAAATGTGATTTTGAGAAGTGCCTACTGTCTTCAGAAACCCAGAAGCAATGCAAACACCAGTGCAAATCTCCTTCCCTAAAAAAACCTCTTTGGCTCCGTGAGAAATCGATGCTCTGAGTAGCCTCACTAGGCTCTCTGCCCTCTGTTATCTTCCCCTAACCTGTCTTTTTCCCTTCATTTTAATTGCATGTCAAGTTTGAGGTGGTTTGGACTTTTTTGCATTGGGGGTGTGTGTGTCTTTGTTTTGTTTTTGTTTTGAACAGAATGCTACTTTACAATGACACACGTAAAATCATACAAATTCAACCTTAAAACTGTACTTCATGTTTCCTGAACCTGCTCAGAGTCCAGCATAACAGTAGGTAGGCTAACAGAGCTCAAAGCAAACCTTGCCCAGGCAGGAACCAGACCCATTACTTACGTGGAAATGTTACATTTGAGAACTTATCCCATCAGATCTCACTTGACAACTTTATCATCTGCACCTTACTTGCCTTGAAACCACATGTTGTAAAATCATAGAGCTCCCTGGAATAAAACTGAGTTAATCTAAATCTTCCAGGATTATTTAGCAAAGTGCCTGATTTTTGAGAATTTGCACTGAGGAAATAAACTTAAAAAGATCTCCTCGGACATCACTGAGATCCTCAGCATGAGGCATTCTTAGATGCATTGCACAACTGAATTCTGAGAGCAAGTGAAAGATGGGGCAGAACCATCAGGTGGTCTGTTTCTGTGCCTGTCCTCCACATTCTGACACAGTGTGAGCTCCAGCTAACTTTTGGTTTCCAGGATTCTGAGGACTGGGGTGAGCATCACAAGTTATTTGTCCTTCCTCATCCTTTTAAGTTTTATTAGAGCATAAACCACAACTTTCTGATTCCCCATCATAGTACACACCCACACTTCAGTTAACCAGCAAAAAGAAAAAAGTATCAGGTGACTAACATTTTGTATCTGTGGGTTTAGAGCCAAATTATATGGTCAGCAGCCTGACTACTAGATAAAGTGCAAGGTGACACAAAGACTACGTTTACACAACTACTAGAGCTGATGACCTGCCAGGACGTTCTGCAATTTGGCAGCTTCTGCATGCTGAAAGAAGGCTGACATTTTGTTTCTGTTTTGCTCAGTGTTAATCTGAGGTCCATTAAGATGCATCAGAGCTATACTCCCAACTGCTTCAGGCCCCATTTCCTTCCTGTCTTCCACTTGCACCGGCTGCCCCAGGGATGCACAGTGGCCAGTCAGCAGGATGATAGGCTATGCCCACAGAAGAAACACAGGGCTGAGACAGTGAAAGGCAGGAACTGTGTAAAATCGACCTGGGCCAAATCAAAATTTTTCCATTTGATCCAAACCAATCAATTCTAGTATTTCATTTTAATTTTCCTAAAAGGTGGCAACAGAAAGAAAACTGTAAAAATAAGTCCAGTCAGCTACCACCACTGTAATAGGGTGTGAAAAACCAGCTGAAAAGAGCTATGTACAGTGTGGTGGTTACAGCTGTGAACTAGCTTGGAGAGAGAAAATGATCAAGCAGGGGAACGGAAGGCAGGCTGACCCAACACGGACAGGAAGCCATGTAATGACTACCCAGCTCTTTTGGTACGAACTGCTGCTTCAAAATAAGAATATCTGCTTGGGCAACAGCAGCTTGCTGGAGACAAACCAGGCTGACAGATGAGTCCAGCTGGATGAGCAATGGGCTTGCTCTGTGTGTCCACGAGGTTTGTGTTCACAGGACACCACCACCATACTAAGAAGGGGCTGGCCACTGTCTGCTCAGAAACCACATCGTTACCACAGCCCCAGCATGTGGAGTGGCCTTCCAAGACAGAGCAGGCAAGGGGAACACTAGTTGATTTTGGTTTATGAAGCAGCATATGTGGTGTTGCCTCCTGGGACTGGAGAGTCTAGGCCTAGATGGATAGGCCTGTGAGGGTACTCCAAGCGTATTCATATCTGATGTTACTATATGCAATAACAAGCCTTATTCTCAAGGGTGTTAAGCACCCATGCTCAATTTGGAATCAGTAAGACTTGAAAAAAAACGAGCAAATCTGGATTAAGTTTATAAAGTATATAAAATACAGAGACTGGGAAAATGAAGTTTTAAATATTGCAGTGCTTAGAAAAATGCATAACCCTGTCTTTCCCTGGCTATGACTTCTGAGATGCATCAAACACTTCAAGCCTTAATAGATCCTATGTGCATATGAGAAAAGAGGTTAATACATCCAGATACAGATTTAGCTATTTACAGTCTAACAAATACTCCTTAATCAAATGCAAACATTAAAATTACTCCAAGTGATGCCCAATCTTTAATGCCTCAAGCTGTCAAATATATCAGTTTCTTCACATAACTACACCAAACAAAGATTTTCAAGGTGGTACAGTGTCCAGACAATTTGATCCACAAACACATTCCCTGTAAAGTGCTCACACTTCCTTCCCATCTTCCACTTAGAGGTGTTCCAAACACAGGCCACTCATCTAACCTTTCCTCGTTACCCATGCACAGAGCAGGGGTAATGAGGAAAGCCTGTTTAGAAGCTCACAGCACTCACCAGGGCCCAATTTAGTGAAACAAACAGACTTGGTGTTAGGTTCAATTATAATAACATTAATTGTAGGTATATTATGTCAACACAGAAACCATCCCATGGAAATTCATAAGACTTGCATGGAATTAGGATGATACAAATGAACCCTCAAAAAAACCCCCAAAACTCCAACCAAAAAACCAACCAACCAAACAAGAAACACCTCCGAGTTCGACCTTTTCCTGTAATTTGTTTAAATGAAACTAAAAAGCTTTATGAGCTTCATTTCACAAAACTAGAAACTGCATGGTCCCTCCCGACACATGGGAAATACCCAGTTGAAACAAGATCTGAAGATTTGTAAATAATGACATTAAATCAGAATTCCACTGGCTGGCTTTGCTCTTTTTTCAAAAACCTTATTGTTTTTCTCCAAATCAACAAAAGAACGAATTGCCTCTAGTAGACTTCATTTCTGAAGCCACTGTCTTTGTCTTCAATGCCCATTAAAAACCCGGTCTTGAATTTCATTCAGCTGTTTTAGAGAGGGAAAAAAAATGTGAAAGCTTTTTCTGTTTCAAAAACAAGAATAAAAGAAGGGGGGGGCAGGGAGGGTGAAGAAAGGGGCCCACAGGGAGCCAGGATTAACAGTTACAAAGACATTTAAAGGCTCTTCCCCTCTTTTCAACACATTAGCCTTTGAGCATTTGCTCCTATAGACAAATGTTGTAGTATCTCGGTGGCTGAGAAGGTGAACCTCATAAAGGAGGTCATGATCCACCAATTCACCATTTTCTTAAGAATGATGCCTTGACTTTATAAGAAAAATCACCAACAACTATGTAAATCAATTCTGAAGTGGTATCCTTTAAGGCATTGCATTTTAGTGGTTCACACATTTAGGTCACACTAGATGGTTACACATCCTAAGGATTTTTGTCTGAAATCTATGATTCTCAGAGCAAGCACGTTAGCAGAAAAATAGCACTCTTTCTCCCATTTGATAATTCATTTCTTCTTGTCAGATTTTTATAAAATTATAAAAAAATTGCAACATACAGTTCTCTGTTATGTAACAAACTACTAATTGTAACAACCGCAAAGGCAGGCACCACTTCACTTTTCTCTTTAAATCTCTCTCTCATACTTTTATAATGCCAGTATCATACCACATCTAAACTTTGAGATGTGGTTCATCATTTTGTATGAAATGTTAATATTTTATTTGCATCCTCTAAACTAAGGGGCAAAACCGCTGAATGCTGAGCAATGAAATGTATCAACACTTCCCACACAAGACAAAGTTGCTCAGCATCTACATCAGAGCAGTGCCTATACCAGTACTGCTCATGCTTGCTGGTCTCTGAATTGACAGCTCTTTGGATGGATCCACCTGCGATTACCATGCAGCAAGAACATGCTTACATGCCCTTTTACACAGCAATTTCAGGGAATGGTACTATACATTCCCTCCTTCCATCTCTTAAAGTATTCATGTATCCAACACAAAAAATACCAGATGGAAGAGGCACGGTGTACATTCAACTCCATGGGATGTGATCAAGGTACAACAGAGTTTTTAGCAATGGAAAAAGCAGCTAAATTGCTTGTTGTTTCTCAGTGGAAAGTGCCTGAGGGCAAAAGGGTCCAAATAACACATCAACTTCTCTTTCAATATGGAGGTTTCGAGCATATCAGCTTCTGATAACAAATTACTAGTATTTAGACAGCTGGTCTTTGGCCGTTAAATCTTTCTAAAGCCTAGCTCATACTGGAGGATGAATACTTGTAGACAGGTCAGTGAATGAAACTGCATTCTCCTCAAGACAAATCTTTTCCTCTTGAGGAAGCATGTAGCATTTCCAGATGGTTCATCCAGTCTTGAAGCACTGCCATTCAAATATGCATGGTTTTTACCATAAGATTTACTTCAGTGTGGAAAGATCACACTGCTGCTATAAGAATCCAGTTCTCTGGGGAGGCTGATGAAGGTTCCGTTTTGCTATATGCATTTCCTGTGATATGCATTAGTAGAGACCTACTGCTATGTGCTCCTTGGAAGCCATTCACAGGACTTCATGGAATTAATCAACATGAGCCAATGCTAAACATGCTCATTCATTGATACAGAGCTCACACATAACAAGGTAGACAAATGTAACAGTCGAAACTCTAAAGCACCAGAAAATCTCAAACAGAACTGTATGTTAAACAGCAAACTGGAAATAAAATACACTGCCCCTTGGAATCAGCAGTGAATTCCCTTTTAATATCAACAGCTGTTTTAAGAACAGCAGACACACACATGCAACCATTCAGAATACTACGAATGATGAAATACCTTGGAAATCACATCTAATCTGTTCCTGGTGCCTTTCTGGAGCTTTTATTCTGTTCTGTGCCCCACTGTAGACAGCAGGGGTTAAGACAGGAAAGTCACAAAAAGTACTACCTCACCAAAAGTGTGAAGCCAAATGAAGTTTAGCTTACTGCTGCAATTGCAGGCCAGTTACAAAAGCTGTCAGAGCACAACCTGGACTTTCCCTCTTACACTGCTCAGACACAACTAATGGTTCAGACAGTGCTGTGCCAGAAGAAGTCTACCACAGGAAGAGGACCAGTAGAAGACTGTCTGAATCAATAAAATTGTATCTAACCTAGCCATACTCCCAGTATTTCATTTTTAAAAATGTATTTGAAAACAATGAACTGAAATCTGCACTTCACTCACTATCTGCATCACAGAAGACTTGTATGTCCCTAGACTCACTTTGTTCCCTCACTGCTTCCTGCTCCTCTGGTCAGACTGAGAAAAATCCCTTCACCAAAGTTCTCTGTCTGTCCAGAGACCACATCCACCACCTGCACTGAATCCATCTGCTGACCTGCTATCTCTTGCTGTGGAGTCACTCTCCCCCTGGAATCATTAGCGTGTCTAGATAAGCAGTGCCCCAATGCTGTCCAGAAGTTCTCAGCAGCTCTGCAAAACAATCGGATCAAAACAAAAACACCCCTGACTCTCCCACACACATCCCTGAGCTAGCTTCTTCCTCATCTTTCACACTGTTCCTACTCCATTCTCTTCTGCTCAGTCTGTTTCCCAGCTCCTTCTGCCTGGCAGTCAAAGCAGCAGCAGCAGCCACTGCTTTACCATACACACCGGGACAATCAGCTTTTTCTAAGGAAATGAGGCGTATGTAACACCACTGCCTCTGTGTGCACTTTTATGTCCCCGCAGCAACTAGTGAACTTTCTGTCCAACTTCCAGCAATTTGACAAAGGATGCAGAGAGATTTCAGAGGTACTAAATTTCTGTACGTTTTATGGGAGGGGGGAACATGCAAGTGGAGGAGGGAGACCTTCTTAGCATCCATGGAAGTAGCAAGTTGTGGTACAAGTTCCATCACCTGTTTGATCACAGCAAATCTACACCAAGGATATGGTCTGAATACTTCAGCTGAAGAAAGGAAGATTCATTTAGTGATTGCACCCTTTTAGGCACAAGCAAAGTGAGGCATGAGATCCACAGGGAACCATATCTTACTGGTTCCACTTCTCACAGCAGTACCTATTAAGATATCCAGAGCAAACTGTGGCACCAATTCAGCAACAGAAGAGGCTTGACTTTTACCAGTTGTTCTTCAAAATGTTTGTCTTCATATGCTCAGTGTCTCTGTTTTAAACATGGACAGCCTATTTGTGCTCACCATACCAAAGAGTTTTCCAGGCATTTCCCAAAAGCCTCCTTTCTCTCTGAACTAGTACAGAAATACCATGTAAGCTTCTCATTTTTAACGAAAAATTAAACTGGTTCCACAGCCACCTAAAAAAAAATGTATTTTGTTGTTCCAATTCCTAAATTAACTCACGTTGCCTTCTCTACCTGCAGTATTTTCAGCTTACTCATTACTATTTTTTCCAGATGAAATCACAAATGGCTTGAAAGCATACTGTGCTCTGCACAATGGAATGAGACGGAGTTTTTCAAAGTCTTACTCCAGCATCCAACACAACAGCTTGAAAACATCCATGTAAACTCATCTTGGTGAACTTTCCAAAGTGTTTCAGACTTATTAGAATGTTATAAAAAAAAACTTACATCTTTTCCGATAGAGTTCCTGAGTAATTCCCTAGCCTGCTTACTTGCACAGATGTTTTAAACAACACCAATTCATTTTTCTATCCTATGAATCCAAGTTTTTCCAGAGCAAAACTAGGTTGGAAAATCTGTTCTAAGGCCGAATGGGCTGCTGCTGGGAGACTTACTAATTCAATCTGACAACCATTTTAAAGGCTTGCTAATTCACAAAACCACCTACATGCTGCCTACCTTATGTGGCTTGAATTAGTCGTCATGGTTGTTAGGTCACTGTTAAGATAACATCTGACCCCTCTACTTAACTTTTGTGCTTTGGAAGCATTTATTATGGGCTGCATTATGATGGTGCCCTCCAGTGCCATGATAATGAAGATTTTTCTCAGTACTGGCCTATAAAATCCCTATTCTCCATGAATTTATAACTCTGTCATGAAGATTCTCATGGACTCAGCTTAATCAGCAAAAAGAAAGTGACTGTATCAAATTCTGCTCAGCCTTTCCTTTGGAACAAGAGAGAGACGAAATGCTCACAAGTTCAGAAACACAGTGTTACACTGGATATTAAATGTAGTCTTAAAAATAACAATGGTGATGTCAAGGCCATTGGTGCCTGATGTTACTCCCATGTTCTCTACCTTTGAGCTTTCTGTAGGCTGTGCATCAACTGTAACAAAGCGCAATGAACTGAGCCCTTATTCTACTCTGTAATACAGCAATTGCCAACAATTGATACATAGAGGGGCATATCTCAGTGGCGCAAACAGTAACAACTACTTCTTCAGATGCAGCCCGCCTCTCTCCTGGACCTGCATCTCACAATCCCCGCAAGCTCACTAGACCTGAGCAAAACAATAAAACATACATGATGGTTTATTCCTAATTGACATTTACTTACCACATCTGTTACCCACATGCATCTGTCCTACACCACAGGACTGCTGTGGCTCTGATAGCTTGAGAGACTTTCTGGCCACTTCGTGGTCCATGCCAGAGATGCGGACACGGAACTGCTCCCTACTGACTGTCTTCCGTAAGGTTCGAATGGTTTTACGGAACCTCTTTTCAGTCTTTTTCCGAGCACAGCGCACATCACATGTATCTGAAAAGTATCAAGGGTGAAAGCTGCTATAAGTGACCACGCACAAAAATCCACCCAATTCGAAAGATCAACCAAAGCAAGTCACTGAGAAAGCAACTTCAGGGAACAAGTCTACGATCCTTAAGGACAACACTATCAGGCTAGAAGAAAATTAATCAGACCACAAGACTTTAATCTATGGGCAGTGCTTTGCTCTTTCAAACTATCCCCATCTCTCACTCTTTTTGAAGCAGTAAAATTCATTTTCAAAACAGGAGATACTTTTTATTATCATTTTGCATACAGATAGAAGTGAAAAATACAGAAATTAAGGAGCAAATGGCAAGAATCTTCAAACCGCACCTTGGATTATTTTCCAACCAACCTGTCACCTCCTTTTGGATTGTTTCAAGCTCAAAGTCCGCAGTGATAAAAACTTCTCTAGTCGCTGTCAGTCTACTGAGGGCTCCATGAACTTTCGTGCCAGAGCTGCATGTTAGGTTTACATAGTGGAAGCTCTCCATTACTGAATTATGTCTCTCTGTATAAACAAAATTGAAGGAAGCAAAAGCTTGGCCAGCTATGTTTGTCAACATTCACTAGTGCTCAGTGCATATGTTGTCATGAAGAGTGAAAGGGGAACAAATGGTTAACTCCACAAACCAGTAAACAAACCGTTTGGCAAGCTTCTCAACTGGTGCACCCTCACGTAGAATCATGACTCCAGTGCACCTACAGATGTACTGCTGGGCGGAGGTTCTGGCATTACACTGGGTCCGAGGCGTGATTCACTGCTAGGAAGCGAGCTTGGCTGCAGTGCTCAGCCCGCTTCCCCTGGGTTTTTCTTGCAGGTTCTAATGAATTGCCTCTGCACTATGCAAAGCATCTTAAAACCATGACACTGCCTGCACCGGGCAGGATACTTCAGAGAAAAAATTTTGCACTCCTATGAATCATGTGAAAAACGTGTTAGCTTATAATGGTGTTTAAATTAAGTAGTGGCTGCATACACAGGACATTTGGAGACCATTTCAAGGTTTAAATGAGGAAATATGATTTAGTTAAAACACCAAGAATAAGCTTTGGTTCTGGAGTATATAACTCTTCACTGAGCATCTAGTGTAGTTTCTCACTGTTACTCTTCTAAGGACAAACAAACTGACATGTTGATTCATCATATTGTTTATTGTTTAGTGACATCTTCCCCGAGCTCTTCTATTTTTTTTTTTTAAATCTACTCCTCCTCCTTTTCTGCTGACTTTGTAAATTCCAAGGCTATACTTTCTGCCTTGGAGCAGCTGGAAGAGCTGACCTCACTGTGTCCATCTGGGGCTGCTGAAGTATAAAAGGAAGAGAAGAGAAAGGAGGAACAACCCTTCAGCAACAGAGTCAGCATAAAAGGCCAGGAGGTTTTTCACTGAGGTATCTGACAGTAAGGAACAGGTGAGAAAGGAAAGAACAGAAAGAAGGGATTGAGAAAGGAAAGGAAGAAATCAAAAAAATGAAAAGTATCATTGATTTTACTGAGAATTTTTTGGCAGTGGTACAAACAAAAAAGGAGAAAGGTTTTCCTAGAAAGACTGTAATGTTGTTACAGGGAAGTCCTGAGATCTGTTGTGATCTGAAACAACTAGTGCAAGAATCATGGCTGGGATGAAGTGTGATTCATGAGGTCAGTGAAGAGCAGCAAGTTTGCAGTGCTCTATGCTTTGCTTATGGTGTACTTCATATCAGGAAAACAATCAGCCCTGAGCTATGCCTCTAAACTGCTTACCTGCATTTTTCATATTCATACCTGGTATCATCCATTCCGGACCTTCTTGAAATTTCTCAGTCTTTTTCAAACTACATTTTCCTTCATTTAATTTAAAGGTTACGCTTATCTTGATGGCTGAAGTATCTTCAGGAAGAAACAATGACATGTTATTTTAAAAAAGCAACAGAAAATTTAGATAACCCTAATATTACATCATAATGATGACATAAAAAAATATGCAAGTGAAAAAGGAGTCATCACAGAAAACCTAAAGAGAAGCCAGCTTCCTCCTGCTGTGAAGCATGTTCACAAATGGAATCGGAACAAAGTGGGAGATAGATTTTATCTAAAAAAATAAGAAGAAGGAGGAGGAGATCAAGTCCAGATCTGCTATTGGGCAAATCATGTAAAGGTTAGCTGAAATTGAAGGAGATACTCCAGAACAGTTCTGAAAGTAGTTTATGTCTATATAAAATAGCACCTCTTATCTGTTTAACTTTAAATCCTTTTTAAACTTTACTGTCCAGCAGCTCAACCTAATTGTACTGTGTGCTGCCAACACTATCCAGTTTGGGTGTCTGCTGGCTTACATGTTTATTTATTTCACTACTGATCTTTTTCCTTATTTCTAGGTCTTAGTTTGAGTGATGCTATGAAGCAGCACAAGGGGAATTTCCTGCTGTAATTATGAATGGCAGTCATGAGGAGGAGCAAGAAAAAACAGAGAAAAGGAGAATGGAGAAGGAAAATAGAAAGTCAACAGAAACACCCTTATTTCACAGCTATCTATTAAAAGAAATCAGACAAATCATGCAACAGTAAATCTAGTGATTACCCAGCCAGCTGGATGCATTTGTATTTTGCTGTTTTTTCTTAAGCTGAGGTGACCTGCCACAGGTGAGTGTGTAGGCATCCTGTGTTCCTAACAGACAGACCATACAGACAGACAGTAAAGACACAGTCACTGTGCACAGACCGAAGACTCCTGTAGTACAAAAGACATTTTTAATTTGTTGGTCAGCATCATCTTCACCTTTTTCAACAACTTTGTTCATAAAATACTCCACATTAGAGCTTGTCTCAGCAATTGAAACAGTTCAGGAAGAAAAGTAGCATCGGTCCCATAAGCACCGGCCCAAGCCTTCACGCTGTGTCCTGTGGGGTGGAGGGGCTGTGCAGGGAAAATCTCAGACCCCACGCAGGGCTGGAATTCCTTCGCCCCATTCAGCAGCAGCTCTCAGGGCCAATTAAGGAATGGCCCAGGGAGCACAGAGAATTCTGCCCTGTCCTCCCCAGCCTCAAAAAGACAGTTGTCATGAGAGGGGAATCTCAGGGTAGAGAGGTTATAAAAGACAAGGAAAGGGGCCTTCTTGGGACACTGGCAGGGATCTAGCCCTTTATCTATAGTGAAAGAGGAAAGATCCTTGTTGATTATCTGCTACTTGGGGCTTCCATGAGGGTTAGGAGGTTTGCTACTCTTAACACTCTCTACAGAATCATGTGCTTGTTTTTGTTGGTTTTGACTTACCAGAAAATACCTGGACATCTGAAGAGCAGCTTAAGAAGCATCTATCGCTTCCACCACTCTTAATGCAGTGCAGCAACACCTTGGATGACATATTATCAGGCAAGGGACCCTTTATCTCTAAATAGGATAAAACAAATACTCATGGGAGAAGTAAAACATCTACATACACTCTACTAATAAATCGTCATGCAGCTGCTTTCGTAGCTGGTACCTGAGAGTATCCAATTAATATGCTGTTTAAACAGAAAATCAAAGCAAAATTAAAATCACTGGAGGATCACACAACATAAGTAACTTCCTTTCAGGTAGTTATCATCAGCAAACCTTCTCATGCAGGGAAACAAAAGGAAACAGCAGAATGAGCTAGACACAAGCACAGGAAAGAAAGCATCAAAATCCCTCAAAGTATCTCCTGTTTTGGGGTTTCTTTTTTTGTTTGTTTTTACCAGTTTCAACATCAGTACCATCATGTCTGACTAAAAAGTGGAATACTGGGAACAACGACTCCTACCCCCTAACTGGACAGATCAAGATTTTCAGATTTGACTGCAACCACATGGCCATCAGACACCAGGAGCAGAAATGTATTTGCTAGGCACCTTACCAACGCAATCCTTTTTATTCCAGTGTAATTTGTAGTTAGATTGACACAGGCATTCATAGTCTCCCAGCGTATTCACGCACAGCTGTTGGCAACCACCATTGTTGATGCTGCATTCATTAATATCTATGGAGGAAAGGTATAAATACTTTTAACATGTTAGTCTTCACAAAGTACTGTACTTTAACTTGGCTAGGTAAGCATGTACATAAATACTGCTTAGTAGGGTTTAGAAAAAATTTTAGGAACGCTATCTGGACACCCACCTTGTAATAGTTTTGTTTTCACAGAAATCCTTTGACACATGTCAAAATTGATCAAATGTTGCCAGAGGAGAGATGTTAGGTATGTCCTTAAAGCACATAATTAAAAAAGAAATCCAGCCTCAGCAATATGACAACAAATTAACTCAAAGAAAAGGAGACCAAATCAAGTCTGCATTGCACTGTGTCTGGTTAACTAATATTTTTAATTTGAAATAAAGACAGATGACACAGACAGGGTTCATAGCGATCAATCCTCCAAAGAGTTCAAATAGGTACAATTGCTATGGGACACTATCTGACTCCATGTGGGCAGATAACACCACTGTATCACCATTGTCCCTTTTGGCTAATTATCCAAATTCAGGGCCTCACCCCCCCCAATAAATGTCAACAGGAGGAGAAACTACTGACAGCACAACATACTGCTTTTGGTGCAAACTCACTTGCTGATGCAGAATACACCATTCACCAGTGGTGTATCCCAGGGGTCAATACTGAGGCCAATACTATTTATCCTCTTCATTAAACCTGGATGACGGGACAAGAGTTCACCCTCAGCAAGTTCCCAGATGATACAAAACTAGGAGGAGTGGCTGATACACCAGATGGTTGTGCCACTATTCAGAGGGACCTTGAGTAGCTGGAGAAATGGGCCAACAGGAATCTCATGAATTTCAATAAAGGGAAATACAAAGTTCTGTGTCTCTGCTTCGTAAATCCACCCTAACGACTGCTTCACTTGTCTCCAGTAGCTTTATGGTAATATAAGTAAACCTAGAGAGCTGCTGTCAAGAAATCTCCCAGTAAGTTTGTGCATCTGAGGTTACACACTTCTACATACTCTTTTCTCAATGGTAATAATAATCTTGCCACTGCTCTCTCCAACCATTTGGTCTCTCCTCTAGATACGTAATAATTTGGTAGAAAATGCTGTGAAAAAGATTACAAAACTGAGCTGGTTTCAGGGGAAGAATGTCCTACTAACAGAACTGAGACAGCAGAGGCAGGAATGAGCAGCAGAGGAATAATGGAGAAAGAAGGGAACACCTTAAACTGGTACTGCTCCCTAAGATACCACAAAGTCGGCCCAAATCTTTAGTTTTCATTGACCTTTTGTTAGGAAGTTGCATGCAATGGCAACCTTTTATCTCCAGCACTTATTGACCTCTTCCATATAGGTCAGAAGCTGTATACTCAGTATCCCTACCAGCTTTGACACAGTCTGCGATTGCCAATAAATGAAGAACTTACTACAAGACAAGGATTAATATCTTCTGCACAGGAGTACGATATGAAGAGGCCAATTGGCAGCAAACAGCAAAATTACAGTTCCTTTTCCCCTTTGATAGCCGAAAGAAATGGAATGAATGCAGAGGAATCCATGAGAACAGACTTTTTTCAGCAACTAGAACACATGAGCAGTGTTTCTCCCCATCCAGGAAGGTGTCCCTGGTCATCAGGATAAAACACAGTGATGTTGTAACCCTGTAATCTTCTTTGCAGACTTTCTAGGTGCAGAGGTTAGGACAGATCAGGCACACAGAGATCTCTGAATTGTTATCTCCAAGGTCAAGGGTGCTCATTCTGCCTCAGAAATAAATAGGTCTTACTCAGAATTAAGTAACTATATGGAGTCAGCAAGGTCTTGCCTAGAGCTTATATAAAACAGGTTTAATTCTATTTAGTGTCCAGTTATTCATGTTTCCTCATGTTAATTCTGGGAATTTGTCACAGAAGTATTCACACGTGATGCACATGGAGGTTCTGTGACTATCTTTCTCATATTCCTTGAACTTTTCTTGTAGGAAAGATGTAAAAGGTTTAAGAGTATTAATTTGGCCAATGTAAATCAGTGGTACTACATCAGCTAAATTCCAATCTAGATCACATGAGGAACTGACATACGCACAAGAGCAACCTGCAAAACCATACTTATCTAAGTCATCCAGAGCTTCCTGTTCTTTAATTCCTATTCCACTGACTTTTCATTGAAGTCAATGAGACTCCTGTATGTGAAAAATCTATCAAATTATAGCTTTCATATCCAGGTGCAAAATGCATCAGTTTGTTCTGATAGTCACAGGTGCTTTCTGGATGCAGAGTGGGAAGGGAAAATCATTTGAGAAAAGATAGAAATGCACGGGATTAGTTTCCACTTTTGCTGTGTCCCCTTATCACGGCAAAGAGCAAAATTTACTCTATACACCTACTGCATATACGTAGGCTTGTGTCTTGCACAGACACTAATTAGACCTGTGGCAACAGCACTCTATCAGCATGGCCTGTAGTGTCTTTTTATAACTCACCTCCACAATGTGTGAAGCCATAGAGAGCATATCCTTTGTTACAAGTACACTCAAAGGTGCCTGGATGATTGATGCATGTGTGGTCGCACGTCCGTTCAAAAGAGCATTCATCAACGTCTGCAAGTTTTAAAGGGATACATCAGTATCTTTCAGCTTGACAAGGGAGCACTAATCAGCTGACAAAGTTGGACACAGCGGTGTGCAGATTTATGTAAATTAAGCACATTCTTTTACAGCAAATAATGTAACATAATTAAATGATAACCTTTAAAAGAACGATTACTTTGCCAAACAAGCTTTTTCTTGGCAAACATGAAAACTGCTGCTACACTTTTAACAATTATGATTAAAATAAATTATTTTTCTTCTATGGGAGAAACAAAAAATGCTGTTAAAACTCTTAGTTCATTAACATAAGATCTGCAGAAAGAGATTCACAGAAGAAAGTATTGCCTTTGGTTTTTCCCCGTAAATGAAAGTAAAGGCCACATTTTTAACTCTATGTGACTATGCAGTGCCTGACTTAAGTCTGCTGAAAATCACCACATTCTCTGAGATACACCTGAAGACAGATGACTGGAATAATTCGGTGAATTTTTCCATGGATCTATTATACTGTATATTTAGACTTCAGTGTCTGTCTCTAAAAGCTGCTGAGATATCTGTTTTCTCCAGCAAAACTTTTCCTTGACATTACAATCACTTTGCACACATCTCCTTTGTAAAGCATAGTTCGTACAATAGCCTAATCATGACCTCAGTGAATTGAATGGTAAAATGGTAAAATTTCTATCACTTTCTGAGGCCTTGAATGTTTATTTTACCATCAAAAGCACCTAAAACTTCTGTGCTAGTACATTATGCATGCCACATTAAAATGTTGCAAGATACAAAAAAGTTCACATCAACATCACTGACACATTACATCATTCTTTTTTCTTGGGCTTCGGCATGCTACAGCTTGATACCATTTTTGAAACAGCATAGGGAAAATAACAGAAGTGACAGGGACAAAAGGGAGATGCAAGTCTTTAAAATACATTCATAAACAAATTTCATTAAAAAACCCCCCACAAACTACCTTGAAAATCTTATATTTTTAAAGTAAGTTTGTTTTGTATAAATTGTTGTCCTTCTTTGACTGATTTAAAAAGGATAAGAATGCACTAAAAACCCAGGTGAAAATTATTTTCTGTTGGTCAGTTCAGCTTTCTGAAATTTATTATTAATGTCAGCTGATTGTCTAGGAAGTGGAATTATTCACCCTCCCAGTTTGAGTTTGCTGATTGGCTTTACATTGTTTCATACTGTAGCTTTTCCAAAACCACAGACCATTTTCATCTTTACATTTTAGTATATTTAAGCAGCTCAATCAGGATTGCTAATTTTATATGTACAAACCATTACACAGAAAAGCAAATATGCTTTGTAAGTCTTACAGGCAAAATCCATGTCATCCTAAAAATCAAATGCTCTATGATGTTTTAGGGAATAGTGATTCCAGTCTGTCTACAGGCTTCTAAATTCACAGATTACATTATATCTTTTTTTTCTTTAAATAATGAATTCATGACATCTAAATGTCCCATTAAGAAAGAAATAATTTCACTGCAATAGTGAACTAGTCAGTAAGATGGACAGAGAGATATTGTCTATTTTTCCCTGTAAATTACTTTCAGATCATTAATAGAAGGGGGAGGGAGCATTATCCTCATAAAGAGCTTTTTAATACGAGCTGTCTCTGTTGCTTCCAGGTAATAGTTCACTGTGCTGTTAAACACACCTCCTATAACAGTATCAAGCCAACTGTATTAACTCAACAGCTGTTTCAGAAAGAAAAAAAAACAAAACTGAGGCATGGAAATTATTGTGGAGTCCATTATCACTTCATCATTGTAGCAGATGTCCAAGCCACACTGATTTGTTCTACTTCTATTGCCTCTCCAGTGCACATACCTTGACAAGACTTCTCATCTGTTAACAATTTAAATCCTTTTCTGCAGCTGCAATCAAAACTGCCAACAGTGTTTTTACAGAAATGATCACAGCCTCCATTATTGGACTGGCATTCATCAATATCTGTAAAGAAAAAGTGCTTCAGCAAATAAACACAGTACATTCAACATACTTCCACTGCCAGATCCAGAAAACAGTCATGTTCAATTGGTTGGAGAAGCCCAGAAACAAAATCTAGTCAGACTACTACAAATTTTAAGGAAGATAAGATCCAGCTCTTAAGAATGATCTGGCCCATTCAGCCCCATGACAGTGTTATTTGCTTTCATTTAATATATTGCTGTCAGTTACATTTGGGTATGTGTATTCACAAAAGACCATTTTCCTAAGTTTTGTTTGGAAACACTGTGACTCAAATGCTCTCAAACAGCTTTTAGCTTTTTAAACATTGTCTCCATTTCTTCTTCCTAAGCCCGGCGGAAATCTCGGACAGAGGAGACTTCCTGAACTACTCTGTTCTTGTTATGTCAATGTTAGAATGAGTTCTTTATCTAATATTAATTGGCTAAGGCATGAGGATTCCATTGGTTTTTTGTCTAGCAGAACAGTCTTAACATGTAATTACTGGAAAATGTATTCTAATATACAACCTAAATGTCCCTTTGCTCCTTTCCAGCACTCTCATTAGTGCTGCTTGGACCAGCATAAGTAATTGTGCTCACACATCCCTGTTTACACACTGATATTTACTTACAAACTGCTCTAATACCCAGCTGACTACAGGTAAAACAGCAGGCTATTGGACTGCATGCCTGTAAGAACGTACACACCTACCTCTCCCAGTTACCACAGATCCGTATTACCACCTACCAGCCCTCACCTGTGAAAAATGAGGCCATCTTGGCAGGAGGGGAGGAAGTGGTGAGGGGAAGGGCAGGGCAGCAGAGATTCTCTGCACATGATGCACCTGATGCCATGGAAACCGTGCATGAAGTTCCAGCTTAGTCCTTTCTTAGGTTAGATTACACATACTGGCTTTCCTCTGAACACTGGATTACCTTCATTTGGAGATTAATACCTTACAGTGAGGTGTTGGTACGCATGTGTCCATGAGTATAAAACTCACCTTTACATGTCTTCCCATCAAACTGGAGCGTGAATCCAACAGGACAGCTGCAGTGAACTCCAGTCGATGTATCTTTACACGTACGATCACAGCCGCCATTATTTACTGCACACGTTTCTAGCCAACAAGATAAAGCTGAAGTTTGCTCAGGGATATTACAATGGTAACAAGAAATATCATGTGATACAAGGCACAGTTCGAAGCACACTGCTATTCAACCACATTTAGTCTAGTACACACGAGCAACTACTAAATAAATGTGTTGGCAAAATCCTTGCCTCAGCTATGTCCATTTTTTTGCAGCGACTCTACAAACTAAGATATCGTCTCTGGGTATTCTCATCCTTAAACAAAATCCCCGCTCCTTGATGTTGAATCTGTTCCTGTCAGTCTGTCTCCTTATGTCCACACTCAGTCCTGGCTGATGCTCTGACACTTCGCACTAACGCTCAGACCCTTGGTTACACTCAGCAGTACTAAACCAGGTTTCTTAAAGCCCTCCCGACACACATTCGCATGCTACCTGTGCTCCCAGTCATGGTGGATTACACCCACACTGAGCGTTCCTTCAGGCTTGTAACCCACATGCCATCTCAACCTAATGTTCCTCTAACTTCCCCCTATGCAAACTATGTCTGAATCTCACCAAACTTTTCTAGTGAACACCCCTAAAATACACTTCTTCACATCCAACTAAACAGAAATAACTCACTCTGGCATTCATCCTCTTGTAGTCAGTCTTGCAGTCAGTCTAACCACCTCAGTCAGTCTAACAACCTTGTTAGACTGACTGAGACCATGAGATCATGTCTCTCATGTCACTTTAAATATCAGGAGGCTGTGTCCAACCTCCACATGAAGACAGAATGCCTCTTCTTTCCTCCTCTTTCCACAGAAATGTCATTTATTTGAAAACAAGGCTATTCATTTAGATGTCTAAATATGGACTCAGGAACTCAGAGCTAGCCCTATACTTTTGGTAGTTCTTCCTCAGCCTTCATGACTTTTCTGTGACAAATGCCAATAAGCACAGTAAATCACCCTGACTGCCTGGAGTAAGGGCTTTGGAAAGGTGAACATCCACTGACCCAGCTGCCCTGAGACCACAGTGAGTGTTTCTCACACCAGTGCCTTCCCAGTAGTGACAGATCCTCAGCAGCTGGCATTCTGGGCCAGATTCGAACACCTCCAGAGACAGTAAGATGGCCTTAAACCCAACATGCCCTTCTAGATGCAATCCACCACTGGGCCCAATTCTCTTCCATGCAGAAGTACACTTTCAGTTGAAGAGAAGCAGGCAAAACACTGCTTCCTCCATAATCACTTGGCTAAAACTGTAGCACAGAAGGGATTGTACTGCACTCCCATGATGAATTAGAACAATGGAAGTGTACACTACTTCAAGGGCAAGTTCCTGACACCTCCTACTGACCGTCACAAACAATGTACATAATATTATTTCATTATGTATAGGAAACTATTTCCTTAAAAAGGAGTGGAGCATCTCAGGCAGAATTCAGCCCAGAGCTATGATGGCTACAGTAAAAAAAAATTCTTCAATCTAAAATGTTTCAGTAAACAGCAAGATTATTTTGGATAAGCACTTTTACCCATAAGCAACCGTCGCTTCACCCTCTTGTCCACATCAGCCCCTGCTGTAGTGTTTCCTTCAGAAATTTCAACAGTAGCTTCTTCCCTCTCTGTAAGGGACATGAATAAAACAAATGAGTAAAGGTGCCCTGACCAGAAGCCTCATTTGATATCCAATACATACACACATGCAAACAGCTGCCTTGCATGCTGAATTATCAGAGACAGACAGAATTGACTAGGCAGAAATAATTTTTTTTAAAAAAAGTAATAATGAAAATCATGAAGACCCTTCAGTTAAAACCATAAGAATACTTTGCTTTTGTTGCTTCCTTTCAACTCTCGTGTTTTCTTCAGTGTTCTTACCAAAACAGAAGATGTGCTACAGATGTAACGAACAGCAACAAGATGAAAGAACTAATTGAACTGTCATGAACTGTGCTGTTAAGAGCACACTGTCATCATCTATCATGGACTAATACAAGCACTAGCCAGTTACGCTTGAGCATTTGATTTCAATCAACAGACAACAAACTATTCCAGAGACTGGAAGAGTTTATAAATCTTAAGTGCTTTCTTTACTGGATAGCTGCCTTGCAAAAATTGTACTTTAATTGAATTTAGAGTTCTGGTTTGAACAGACGTGCTGCTTGGTTACACTCTCTGGCTCATGCTATATAAGAATTTGAACCTAAAATATCCTAAAGGGAAAGGAATCTTCTTTGGTTAGTGACGGGCCTTGTGCTTCAGAGGGACCGGTGATAATTACAGGCTGCAGCAGCATTAGTTAGCTACTTACATATAGAAGCATAAGTTGCCTGGACCCAACCAACTCACTCATGCACTAACAGGTTTCTTAGTTTTGGATTCCTTGACATTTTCTAGCCATACTATTACGAGCAGCATTAATCATGCACACACAGCAACACCACACCACTCTAGAGTCAGTCACCAACAGAAAGCTACTTCCCTCCACTGTATACTGACCCAGGCAGGTTTTCCCATCCACATGCATGATGTACTTGGGGTGACATCCACAAAGAGGCCCATTATCAGCATCATCACACATATGTTGACAGCCACCATTTCCATGATTACATGTTACTAGGCAGAAAATATATGTTACATCTCACAAGTACTTCCAGCATCTTTGAAAGACAGTGTGCAATTTTGTCTCCATTTGACCATCCAATACACCTTTCTAACATGCCCCTTTCCTGAAGAACTCTGTGAGATTGAAACACTGCAGAGGTCTCTAGTGCAGCTGAACTTCCCATCATTATGAAGGATTGTGCATCTCCCAAACTACAGATGCTGTAGCAACCAACAGACTGGTGTGATAGTGCCCAGCAAAGCCATTGATTCTAGTTTAATTCAAATACACACAATTTAGGCATGTCATCCCAGTTTAGCTATAACATACCCAATCCCATATCACTGCAAACAGAACACTATTTGTTCACTTTGGGAAACCATAAGCATATGCAGAATGTTGCATACAAATGCAGCTCCTCTGATTCTTGGACAGTTCAAATCCTGGTCGGCATTCACAGGCAACTCCTCCTTTGGGTGCTTCTCTGCAGATGTGGGCACAGCCATGATCCTTGTTCATGCAGCTCATGCCTTCTGCAAAACAGGACAAATGCAAGAGCATCAGCATCCTCAACACCTCTGTGTACAGGCAACAAAGTCAGCTCAGTACACATACAGACAACAGCCTGCTACTTCTGGGAAGACTCTGCAGTGTTAGGGCAAGAAGGATAAGCTTAGAGACAGGAAATGCAGAAAGTCCAATCCTGCAAAGTCAATGGCCCCAAGGTTTCTCCATCTGTGATCTTTTCTGTGCCCATGTTCTTTGACTGCAAGGTCAGAAAGCAACATACCTAGATTTGCACAGTATCTTCATTCTTATCCAATGCTCTTAATTTACACCAGTGTTTATAAAACTTCCTCATTTCTTTTATAAAAAATGCAATGTGGCCAATACCTGTCAAGATCAAAGCCTAAAGTGAAGTTCTTCTTTCTCTGTCTAAAAAAGCAGCTACCAGATGTCCCCATTTCAATTACTGGCCTACAAAGTCATAACCTACCTCAGCAGTGACCAAGCAGTGACCAGGCAGACATGTGGGTTGCATGTATGCTGTATGTCAATTCTCTTTTTTTTTTGTTAACCATTTTGTTTTCATTTTGTTTCTGATTTCAATAAATACCTCCCAAAATAACTTCACTGGGGACTATCACAGTGTTCTGTACTTCTACACACCTTTCCAGCTGGACAGAATTTAGTGCCAGTGCCTGCTTTAACTTAATGAAAAAGCAATGTGATGCTAGCAACTTTCTTCCTCTTGGTGCACCTCATAAAAACATCCTCTCATTTTTGCCTCTGACAGTTACAAGCTGTTCATGCACCAGCACTCAATGACCGCCAGAGTGTCTTGTCTGGCCTTTGCAAAAATTAAAAATTAATTAAACAGGGAGGAATTTTCCTATAATTATTGTAAAAACTTCTTTCACCTGTCCCTATGGTTCAGCTAAATCAATGCCTTTGTCATCAAGACAGTGACACAATTTTTACACACACAAAACTACACAGCAGCTGGCTGAGTTATCAAATGGGATCATTAGGCCAACTTAATAGTTTTTCTTCTATCAGTACACCACAGACTTTTGCTGAAGTCTTCTATAGTGCTGCAAAGTTGGAAGAGAAGACAACTGAATGCTCTCCTCAGGTATACAGAGAACACACCTTTGCCGTCAAATTCTCTCCCTCGGTGCATTTGGCTTTTATAAGACCTTTTACACCAAAATGTTCTTTCTTCTTGATGAGGTGAGAACACTTCTTTTGAGAAGAATAAGGGCTTATCCCACACTACCTCAGTGAACTTCTACTGAGTTGAGCAGATGCATAATCAGAGAAAGAATGAAGACCATGCTGCTAAAAAGAGGTTGTGTGAACAATTTCACAACCTGTATATTTTTTAAACTTATACAGCCCTTTTTGCAGCCTCATTACTAAATGAAACAAAAACACTGTATTGGCAAGCAGAGGTCACATCATCACTGTTATCTCACTACACTTTAGTTAGGCCCTTGCTCTGCACATGCCTATTCTCGCCATCTGAAGCAGAAGCTACAGTACCCTTTCTCCATTAAGATAGCTTTAAGCAACAAAATAATGGATATTGCAGAGCGTAGATTATTCTGCTCTACTGGCTTTTTGATTCCTTTTGCTCAGTGAGGACTCTGTAGAAGTCTAACAAGACAATGACACTTCAAATCCTGCAGCACACAGACGCAACCCAAGGAGCCCACATGAAAGCTGTCATCCATTATTGTGCTGTCAGTCAAGGAATGAGACAACCTAAGAGGCCACAAATTAGCCTCATTAACTCTGGTGGTTTTGTGACATTTCCATTCTTAAGCATGCAATATGATTTGGTCTGTTAGGTCAGAGGCATTAGAAAGCATTAGAGACTTAGCAGCTTAGTTTCTGTTAACAAAGTTATTCTTTCATCCCTGTTGAGCTGCCAAAGGGGAAACGGTTCAAGCAGGTACTTTGGTAAAGTTCACTGACATCAGATAAATGGTTTAAATGCTCGATTTGAGATTGCTCTGTTCTGAATGAGCAGAATTCAGTCAGGTCTCTGCAAAAAAATAAAACTGCACTTCCCAAACCAGGGTACATTTGAATAACAAAGTACCTATTTGCATAATGAGATACATGATCAAATGCACCAAAATCTAGCTGACACAAATGACAGTGTTTCATAGAAGATACATACACCCACACATTCTAGCATTTACTATGAAGTTGCTGCTTGTTTCCAAAGGTGGTAGACGATTTTTACTCAACCCCATTTTATAAGGTTATATTAAAGAAATGTCTGTAAAACCATAAATGCTGTGTGACTTGAAACTCCTTCACAGACACAAAGTCTCCCAGGTCACATTGTTCCAGACCTGTTGCAATGGCAGACTGTGGTCCAGAACCAAACCCCACACAAATTTTGGTCAACTCCCACCACGTGCTTCCCAGACACACAATTTCTCTTGAAGGAGACCGTGCCCTACTGACACACAAATGCCTTGGGACGGATGAGTCTCTTGATCGCAACACTGACAGCCAAGAGAGCCAAATCCAGTGCCTGCCTGGCCTCGTGGACCCCAAGCCAGAAGAATCCTTTCTGATGACTGGACCTTCACAAAGTTACCCAGCAAACTTCAGTGAGATCCAAGCGCTCCTGTCACTGGCAAGACACAGGCAAAAAGCCAGCACGGTATTTCTCTAACAGGTCATGTTAAATTAATCTTTTACATGTATGATCTGTGTTTAAATCTTTGTCTTTTTTACACAGAAGATGTAGGAACATCACCACCAATCTGCTAAGAACATTAAGGCTCCATTTAGGGCACACTCAAACAGTACTTTTGTACTCAAACAGTTGCTCAGTAGTACAGAGGGAGATGATCAAATTGTAAAAAGAATGACCAGAGATTCTCAGAGGCACCCTCTAACAGCCAAATGGAGAGTAGCATCAGCACAGCCAGCAGAACGGGACATCCCAGGAACGCTTCAGTCTTTTTTCATGCTGTCTACACCCTTGTATTAAGGTAACTTTTTCCAAACAGCTTGCTAGTTATCACTGTTCTCCGCAGTCAGCAGGACTCTAGGAGCAACAGCTGACATAGTCCCCTGTGTACAAGCTTGCAGTCCACGCAGTGATTTTAAAAGTGGCTTCCATCTTGCAGGTCCAGTTCACTCCCATTGATTCAGCCCAGCAAGTAGATAGCTATGACTGTAAAATACCACAAGGGAGAGTAGCAAGATTTGCAATCCATAGGAATAGCAACCACAAGATATACTATACATTTACTCATTAAAAACTGTTTTCCTTCAGTTTTTTTGTATTCTTTAATATAGAGCAAGTGAAACACAGAAACAAGTTACATGTGCATGGCTGCCCTGCCAGCTGCCGTAACAGCCTCCTAATGTAAAACCATTCTCCCACATATAGATGAAGAAAAGCTCATTCAGAGCAGACAGCCAAAGAAAAAAAATAGGATTGGGCACAACCTTCCAAGACACTCTGAGCTCCTGTGGTTTAAGCAGGGGCTAGGCAGAACAATCCAGCCCCTTGGAGCACCCCTGTGTTTCAGACCAACACAGTTACATCAAATGAAATATCAAATATAATTATCAAACTGTCCTCCAGTAGCTACCTGAACTTGAGTTCCATGTCACAGTAGGTGACAGGGAACCCAGAGGATAACTGCAGATAGACTTGGAAGGACAGATGACTCTTAGGCTCCCCTTTTACACTGGTCATCAGGGGGAATACAACAGCCCCAAGCCTGTCTATTTCTCCTTTCTGAACTCTGGTTCACTCTTTTTCTGTGTATGTAAAGGCCGGTATTGCAGACCACTAGGAAGGTCTCTCAAGCATTAACGTATGCACTCTCTTAACTGGGTTTGGACATAGGGAAGGAAATACTCCCTTTTGTTACAGATAAGAAGCAAAACTGAATAGATTGTCTAGGCAATAGGTGCCAAACGCTGTTTCAATCAATGCTGCGAGGTCTCAAAAGAGAACTAATGAAGTATACACACTGAAAGATGCATACACAAGGCAGAGAACAGAAGACCTAGTGACGAGCAGAAAAGCAGAGAACAAAGTGAGGGGAAAAATAAAGCAATGAGATTTGGCTCACTATAGACCTGCCCACCAAAAAAAAAAAAAAAAAAAGAAGGAAAAATGTGGGGAATTCCGTGGAGCACTCTTTCACAGTAATGGGGGGAGGCAGGAAGGAAACAGTCACGGCATAATAACCTGAAAAAACAGTTTTTAAAGAAAACAAAACAAACACTTCTGTATTTTAATATGAAGAAAAAAAGCATTTCAGGCAGAAACAGTGAGGCTTTTTTCTTAAGACTGGTTTCCACAAAACTATTTTTTATTTAGTAGTTTTTTAGGAAAAAATGCATTTTTTTTCCTCTTACTTTTATTAAAAAAAAAAAAAGACTAAATTAAGTGGGAATTTCGTACTATGGAAAAAAGGCCTTTTGTGCCAAAAAGTTAAAAGAAATTAACTGCATCTTTAAAAATAAGAGAACAGAGATAGAATTCCAAAGGTACAATTTAGGGAACAAACATTAATGACAGGAAATTCTGCTGTTGTTGGTTTAGGACAGTAGAAAATACTCAAGTAGCAGAAAGTAAGAACAAAGAGACTTGGAAGTTTTTCCTCCCTTGTCACTGGACAAGACAAGGAGTTCAAGCAACTGATTTTCATCCTTAGATTCATCATCCATGCTCACACACAAACACACACCACTGCTAGCAAGGCACCATGAAGGGAAATGCCTTGCCCCACAAGCACAGCCTTCCTGCTTGTCCCCACTCCTGGCTCAGCTCCTGCAGTGGAAAGCTGAGCAATGGCCTGGGAAATCACAATGCATCAGCAGACCCCTGTGAGACCAAGCCCAGTACCAGAGAAGCTGAGATTACAAATTCCTGATTCAACAAAAGACCAATTCAGTCACACCAGATGACAGCCACCTCAGCGCACTCATCTGTGGATGGCCATATGTGTCTATAATGTTGATCTCTTCACTATGGGGATTTTTTAAGTGAAATTTGTTTATTCATGCTCAAATTTCTCTTATAGTCATGCCAATGATAAGCCATAGATTAAAGAAAGCTTTGCAGCTTTGAATACTTCTTAGTAAGATATTCACTGTACAGTTCAATGGACAACTCCCTCATCTGAACAACCACTTTAAAGTATTCCCTAAGGGCATCCAAAATAATTTTGTTCAATCCGATGTCTAACTAGATATCCAAGGCTCTCTGATCTCTCAAAGGTCGCTTCACGAAGGTTACACTCAAAACAAAGAACATGATTTGTATAACTTTGGGGCTGACAAACAATAAATCTCTTAGCTGAAACCTAAACACTGTACAGGGAATCTAAAAGGTATCTGAAGATAATGCAACCTGTAACTAAAGGCAGTCGAAATGGTCAGAACTCACTGTCCTTCAGTTTGTTGTCATTCCCTGGGTCAGGACACAGCTTAGCTGCACAACAGAGCACGAAGTACACTAGGAGTACAGCAGTACTGACTTTAACAAGCACAACACTGCAGTCATACAGGTGGGATCAAAGAGGCAGAAGAGATGCAAAGAGTCTTCAAAGTTACTTAGAAGAACCTCACACACTGTTCCTTTTAAAAGGAATGAGGACTTGTAGACCCTTCACAGCTTTGAAAAACTCAAGCTAAAAATAGTTTTGAAGCTGCTTTAGAGCTTTAGAGGCTGTTATCTTCTGTCAAAAACTCCTGCTTGATGCCTGTAGCGAAGCAGCCAGTACCTTCTGAGCGGTGGATGCACGTATGCTGGTTATCACTTAGAAAGAACCCTTCCTTACAGCGACATTCATAGCTCCCCACAGTGTTGACACAAACATGCTGGCAACCCCCGTTGTTGAACATGCATTCATCCGTATCTGAAAGAGAGAGAGGGAGAGAGATCAGCTTTGTACTAACACCAGTAAACTCATACTGGCAGCAACCGCGCAATACACAGTACAGACAGACACCTACTCAACATGTAACTACCCAGGCAGCTTAGACACCCCAGGTTAGCCTGTTGTTGTTGTTGTTGTTGTGCTGTCACACATAGGAAAGTATATTTTTGCTGCTGCTCTTCCTCTGTTCACACTTTGACTGATCAGTCCCAAGGCTCCCAAGAAATGCTAGCCAATGAACCAGAGTTACTGGTCACAGCCAAGGCAGAGTAGCTTCGGTGCAGCTAGAAGCAGGGTTCCACACTCCACCTACATGAACATACTCTGCCTCTCAGTGCAGCTGCACAGTACTACCACTCAGCAGCCTAGCACATTTACATGTAGGTTGAGCATCCACAAATGGTTCCGTCTTGCTCAGTGGGACACAACTTTGGCTCCAAACCTATCCAAGCCATGAAAGATGTTTTTTTTCCAGAAAGGTCCCCATTCTGAAGCAAAGGTGGAACAAGAAAAATACAAACCTCAAAACAAATTTAGCTCAAAACCTATCCCCTGCTCCTTATTTTCACTGTAGCTAAAATTCACACATCACATCTGTTCTGATGCTTAGTCTGATTTATTATCCTCCTCCCTCAAGTCTAGGTCATCACCACTTACCATCAAGGCTGCTGCTGTGTTGCCTGACTGCAGTCAAGGACAAGAGCAGAAGTTCTGGAAATAGTTTTAATGTTGATTTTGCAATATTCAGAGCTTCAACAATACCCGAGAATACAGAAAGGCTCTGCTTGCAAGATAGCCAAGAGAAACAAAGAGAAGAAAAACTTCAGCTAAGCCTCTGAACAACAGGATGCTCATCCCATCCTCCAATTCTTTGGAATTTCATCCCTTAATAAGCACAGATTTTTGTAACCACTACCAGTATAAGAGTTTTCCTACCCTAATTTTCATAAATGCCAGTTTGAACAGGAAGTAAAAATGCTCAGTCTCTGAAAAAACCGAACAAAACATGGTTGAGGCAAAGCACTGGTCTCATTTGCAAATTCATATGGAACATCGTGTTTGCTCCCTGTTCTGTTCATTGTTTCTGTGCTCGTAGTACAATGGTTTTAATTTAACATTGTAGCATTTCTGGCATAAAACAGCTGTCTTCTTAAAAAGGAGAAAGAAAAAGGCTTTTAGTATGAAGCATAACATAGTATTACAACAGATATAATTTCTACTGAACGCAACGAGTAAGCCAACTGGATGCAAAAGAATATGACCTGCTGTAGCAAAAAGAGCGGCTGACATATCTCCATCACAGAGAATCCGAGTATTTTAGAGTTCTACAGTGATGTGAATGTGCAAACAATCATGAATAAACAGCCACCACGAGTCTTTAGTACTACACATTTGAACTCCAACAGATGTTTCTGTCTTACAGACCTTGGACAGCTTTCAAAAAAATCATCTCTTTCCAACAAGTAATTGTCTATTTGGCTTAAACCCAGGCTCACAGCCGAGATCTTCAAAAATAAGGGTGAGAGGAGGGCAACTCTGGGTGAACAAAGTAAATAAACAGATTAAGAGAAGATGTGATCCAATTTGCTGCATGCCAAAATATTTATTTAATGTTCATATCACATCTCAAAATTGGCAGGTCAGTGATAAAAACTTCATTGTATTTCAATGACATTTTATTTTATTTTAAAAAGTCTGCCATGCAATACTGTTCAGCTTTCCAGTAACATAGCACGTGATACATTTTGGTCTAAGTTATGTCTAGGTCTTACTGGTCACAAACAAGTCATCTGGAGTATGTTCTAGAGGGGCTACTGGATACAAAGAGAATACACCCTTTGGTGGCATTGCAAGGGGCAATGTGTTCATTCACATTCAGCCCTTCACAGTAACCTCAACTGAACTCCACTGTGTGTTTACACAAATGCACTAGAGAAAAATAAGATGGCCTTCCTACTGTTTTAAAGTATCAGTGCATATTTTGCTTCCCTCTACTTTTTTTAGTGAAATTCTTGGAACTTAGCGACTTCATCCTCTCCTTCACTTACACTGTAACAAAGTTAATCTGTGGGTACGCACCAGGTTCCCAGCAGGTAAAACCCAGCACAACCCCACTGAAGAGTCCTTCTGATTTGCCCCAGCGGAAGATACAGCCCATGGATGGTCTGATCTCCGATCTAATATGCCGTACACTATAGTGGGAAATACCCTAGCCAAGGTAACTACAGTCTTAGAATTATGCTGCGAGAGCAAATTTCCTTCTGACTGACACAAGCATGGAAGCCCGCCCGAGCACAGTCACACTCAATGCAGCAGAAGAGAAAAACTGAGCCATCTCTGAAAAAGTCAATGGGACAGGTACCACAGCATAGGACAGAGCCACACAGGGTACCCAGCGTGGGTGCTGGAAGCAGGAGAGCTTCATCAGCGTGAGGCTCTGTCCCAGGGAAGCAAAGCCGGCAGCATACCACACTGCCAACAGGCTGGCAATTCACACATTTTGGTACACTGCTGCATGGTGGGCTGGAGAACACTATCACAGTAAAACCACAAGGTCTTGTTACCCATTTGTAAAGATTTTCACCTGCTGGCACACAAAAAGAAGGAAACTATTGAGGTCTTCGCTAAAGAAAAGAAAAAGAGGGTGAGAAAGAGAGTGAGCTTGCAGGGTCTAGGGAGTGTTGCCAGGATCGAACGTGTTTTCAGAGTTGCATACTTGGCTTCACACTAACCACCAAGGGAAACTCCAAGCATTTGGCTTAGTCCCTCTGTACTTCAATAGCCTCTAACATACAGCTGCTGCACACTCCTGATGATTGTCCTTTTCTTACAGCTTCCATGTCAGGAAGCACTCAGACACAGCAAGAGAGAGAAGCCCGCAACTCGTTATAGATGTATGAGAGAGAAGATTTCTAAGCCCAGAAACACTCCTGAGAACTGATCCTAAACTAACTTTGGAACAGAAAAGACAATGAGAGCACAAGTTCTTTTACATAAACTCGTTTAGCATAATAATAGATGGCACTTCACACATTTCAACCCAAAGCACTTAACAGAAATGTAGCACAACTATCCTCCTCATTTACAGAGGGCGAAAGCCACAGTGGGATGGTACAGCAGCACCTGGAATTCCTCAGTCCCATCTGTAACATTCTCTAGCTGAGCTAATCCAGTCCAACAGACCACCATGCATTTCCCATGGATGTAGCTAAAGGGTTATGCTAGCATTACTACTCACAGTGTTCATGAATGCACTTCTTACCCAGGCAGTTGTGGCCATCATGAGCCAACATAAAGCCGTCGTAGCAAGTACAGCGATAATTTCCTGGGATGTTGAAACACTCATGGACGCAGCCTCCATTGAAGTCATTATCACATTCATCAATGTCTAAGGAATAAAGCAAAAGTCAGTATGATGGATGCTTGCTTGAGTGCTATAGACAGTTAGAGATGGGACTGCGTAAATGTGAGCAGCAACTGCTGTCCCAAATCGTCATTGTCTTGCAAATAGACTGTGCTTAACGCATTGCTTGCTGAATGTTTCTGAAGAGTGACAAAACGCCCTGAGACTCACGTGTAGCTTTACCTTACAGTTTTTCAGGCTGCTGACTAAATAACAACCTAATTATTGGACCAAGTGATATTACTGGGTGAAAAGCCACGCAATCTGTTTGCCTTTGATTTTGTAAACAAGAAGTAAATCAGGTGAAGAAACATATTCTAACCCATTACTTTTAATGGCTCTGTCTTCTTAGAAATACCTCATGCTGACACAGGCATAGTGCTTCCATCACTTTACCTTCACATTTCTTCCCTTCGCCAGTGTAACCCACTTTGCATGTGCACTTGTACAGCTTCGGGGTGTTTTGACAAATCGCATCTGGGTGGCAGTCATCAAGCCCCAGGGCACACTCATCCACCTCTGCGAAAAGACAAGATTCAGATGGGATGTCAGAAGGTGGAGAACAGGACATGTCTCCCGTACATACCACTGACATGACCACGTAAAGCCGAGTGCCTGTTTGTGGTGTGTGCACTATCTGCATTTGTAAGTCAGGGCAGAAACATGCAGAGACTGTATCTGAACTTAAATTTGTATCACACTCTGCCTGCATATAGATGTATTTGTACGCAGCTCAGATAAGTTTGTGTTAAGCTTTTGTATCCACTTACAAATACATCCAAAATAATCTATTATGGGCTAGATCCTCCACGAGATTTAGCTGACAGTTTTACACAGATTCTTCGAGACTGTTAATCTTTCCGGTTAACCAAAACCAGTTACTGAAAGAGTTCTTTATCACATCCGTGACATCACCCTCAGGAAGCCAAATGATTTTTAAACTAACAAGGGGAGTTCACAGAAACTTACTTTCAAAGTCACCACCAGAACACTAGAAGACTGACTTACCATTAAACAGATGCATAATTTATAAATAATGCCGATTTTTTTAATACAAGAATAGTATCTCGTGAGCAGCATTGCCAAATCACCTGGCCTGCCATCACAAAGCACAGCATACTGAAGTAAATATCCCGGTGAAAACTTCAGAGTAGAGGAAATGAGGAGAAAGGGAAACACCAACAGGAGGAAGTCCTGAAGACAAAGAAGTGTAGACAGAAGAAGAGGAAGAAAAGTTATGGGTGGCAGAACATGTCAGCAGAACTTTTTCATACAGCAGAAGAGAATTCAAACACAGAAACAGGGAAATTTCCAGCAACTGGCTAAAAGGAAGAATTGCAGAAGCAGCACTCCACATAGGTACAAGAAGTGACTCCTAAAATAACAGGGTGAATTGCAAGAGTATCAGCAGAAGGTGACTACTTAAAATAGTCAGCCACTTTTTATAGTGGGGATCACTTTATAAGGAGAATTTCAGCCAGCACCTCTCCCATTTACAATTACAGCATTCATCTGTTCCCCCCCCCCCAATCACAAAATATGCCTGTAGGTACTGCATCAGTTGCCAACTTCAGAAAGTATGTGTGTAGTTTTAACTCCTGATGGCATTTGGCAGCAGGAAACAAGGCAAAGAGCCAGTGCTACAGCAGCAGGGCTCTCCTGGCTCTCAGGTGCGCACGGAACCGGTAACAGCGATGGGGTCCTCAGGTCCTACCTCCAGAAGGCAAGGGGAAGGTGGGAAACAGTGGCAGAACCTGCCTCCTCTCAAAGCGGAAAAGCCAAGCCATTAAAAATAGGGGAAGCTGTGAACAGAGGGAGCAAGTCATACAAGGAGGGGTGCGGGGAGCTGCTGAGGGGCCTCCAGCTAGTGGGATCCAGGTAGATGGGGCAGGAGGAAAGGATGGGTAGGGACGGAACAACAGCGGGCAGAAAGAAGCACCAGCCGCCTGCGCTGGAGGCAAGGGAGGCCGGGGGACACACCTGCCCTCCAAGGACACAGCAGGGAGGGGGCTTCTGTCACAGCTATGGCACAGAGACGGCACCTGGACCTCATTCCAGGGGCAAAACGGCTGTTCCGCTCTTTTATTTTTACCCTAATCCTCTGCGGTCTGCGGCGCGCAGGGAAGAACAGCAGCAGCAAACAACCGCAGCACTAATGCATAGGCAGGCATGGAAAAGAGGGCTAGGGAGAAAACCACCCGGCACGGGGAGCGAGCTTTCCTCATGCAGCGACAGCGGCCTGAGCCGGGAGGAGGGAGGCGGCGGGGAACCATCGCAGC